CACTTTGTTAGGCGGGAGCATGCAGGGAAGGTCCATCCTTTTGTTTCATGCAAGCAAGCACTGGGAAAAAATTGTTGAAAGTTGAGAAAAGACCCTGTTATCTGAGATTCAGCTGAAAGGGACTGAATTCTGCTCCTCATTAGAACGGTTCAATTCTAGAGGAAATAATGGAAATGTTGAGTAGGTGCTGTCTGTCACAAAGACCCCAGTTCAGATTTCATTTAAGCATACATTTCATCTTCAGGTCAGGGCTATTTGACATGTTGTACCTTGCCAAGGCTGTTGATCACGTTTGAGGGATTGCAGGAAGGGCTGCCCACAGCTGCCGAGGAGCTGGCCAAGCAGCCAGATGAACGAACCTGGAAAAGGGAGAAGTCTATCGCAATAGAAACTGGTGCTCTGGGAGCCTCTCTTGTGGGCTTACGGGCCCACCTTGCCCATTCAAGTTGAGGAGTTTTCTAGCACACTTGGCTCTAGGTACTGGCCTAGACCATCACATGTTCCACTCTTTTTTGTACCAGCAAACTGCAGGCAAGTAAGGCTAAAAGACATAGCATCATTTACTGTATAGTCAGGGCTTTTCCATTCAATGTATAGTGTGAAGGTACCATTAAATACTGCAGGACATGTACCAGCACCAATACGTAGGTATGCCTGCATTATACACTGACTCTTCCGACGTTTTGAAGATTAACACAGGTAAAGGTGGCGGTGGGGTTTGAAAGATGGAGTTTGGCTCGGTGAAGGCAAGCTCCATGAAGAGCTAAGCGCTAGAGGTAAGTACTTACCACAACACAGCTCTTTTAAATTCATCAGAGAAAATCACTGCCCGAGAGAAGAGGCTTGCTCTACCCCTGCTGCACTCAGTCTGTTGGAACTGACAAAAACATTATGATAATAACAATGATGTTTCCAAGATTCAGCCTGAATTTGCAACAATCATGCCACAGATTTTCAAAAGTTGCTTCTATGATGAAACAGAAACTTCTCAGGTCATCTGAAAAAAAGGCTGATGTGGAGTAGAGCAGGTACAGATAGTCGTAACACTGAGGTAAAACAAGCCAGATGCAGGCGAACAAAAAGGCAAGACTATATTTTTCATGTGAGCCTACAGAGGCTTGTGTAGCAGTTTGACTCTATGCCAAAAAGCTCACTGCACCTCTAAAAAATTGCTTTACTCTAAAAAACTAACCTGAAAGATCCCTGGACTGCAGTCAACTTAACATCACACATATCTGCATCTTCAAAGCATTCTCTTTGGCTCAGGATACCAACAGAAGCATAACTATTAGTGGTTATTTCAACCTTGAGGTAATTGGATGCCCTGCTACCCTACCCACTAAGCAAATAAATTGACTTTGATGTCCCTTGAATATGTCACAGAACAGAAAAATAAAGGCCTTATATTTAACATTGTGAAAGTGATTACCCTAAAGATTAAGATTTTCAAATTAATACTAAGTGTTAAAATAGTATCCGTAGTCCATGCTTTCAGCTTCTTGCTGTATTAGAGCTAATTAGCTACTTGCTAGTCATTAGCATCTCTGATGACAGAGCAGACTTGTCAAGGCATTTTCCTACAAATAGGGAAATCTTTTTTATTATAGCCAGTTATTGCAAAGATACTTACTGAGGTGGACTTGATCACGGTGGCTATGAGCAAGGCTCAAACCCAAATCACTGTTCAACACCTATGTAGTTATATGAGAGACGAGGAGTTACAACTTACTGGACACAGTCACATCATATTGCAGCTTCAGCTAATGTTTAAAGGGATGCAGCATCAGCTGAGATTACTGCTCTGTATGTCAGAGTATTTATTTTTTTTGCAGCACAGTTTCAGTCTCTCCAACCACAGCTTAAAGTATACCCTGGTTCCAGTCTAAACCCCATGTGCTGCCAGGCAGACGTTGAGCAGGAAAACTTGAGCAGGTTTACTTGTTCCCCAGTCAGATTATTTCAATCCTACCACCAATTCCAGGGCCATTCATGTCTGTATCTGGAGGTGGAACTGACCTTAACAATTAGGTCCTTTGCTATTTTAATGGTAAGTAATGGGATTAAGGTAAATATACGGGAGGAAAAAAAACTACATTATTAACCAGACTTAATATAATAGGAACACTTTAATGCTTATTCATGCAAAATGTCACAGCAGATGTGATAATTCTAGAGTAAACCACTGATAGCAATGCATGTGCTCTCAGTGGAATTCAAACACGGTAATTCTTTTATTGTTTTAATCACAAATTTGATGTGTATGAGCAAGCGAGGCCTCCATGTCAATCTCAACTCCCTTCTTTCACATACTTAGAGAGGCTAGGTATATTTTAAAGTCAAATAATGAAAAATGTACCCTGATGCCTCTTTCAGTCTGCATTCCCTTTGTTTATTCCTAAGATTAAATGGATCATGTATAGTGTTGGAAAAACTTATTCAAAGAACTCATTTAAATAAAGATCAATTTGCAAATTGTACCAATAGGTTTGTACAGACATACATATGTACATAGACATGTAAAAAATAGAAAACACACAGGAAAATTTTCACTTGATACATTTGAAAAATATTAAGAATTGGAAAACATTAAGACATCTGGGTGTACAGCACATGTAAACCATTTCGTGGTGAAAACAGAAGTGATGAATTGCACATTCACTGATATCAGCTGCAGTATAAAAGTATACAGTATGTCAGCTCTTTCCTGTACATCATTATAGCTGATACTTCAGCAATAGGCTTTGATTAAAAAAAAAGAACATAAAACACCAGTTTGTGCCTTAAAAAATAATTGTGTACAGAACAATAACAATAACAGCATGTGGATTTCAATGAGCTACAAAAAAAAAAAATCTTAGCAGAAGCAGAACGGTAACACACCTATCACTGATCATAATACCAAAGACATCTGACTGCATTTTGTATCTACCAATATTAATAACATGACATTAAAATCTTCAGCTTTAAGGTTGTGCAGACCTAGAGTTCCAGACCCATGTTTATATATTATATCATTTGCATACAGTTATATTCCTTAGATAATCACATTGCTCAAAACCAAATGCTGACATTTTCAGTATTTACGCACAGCTCCTGACTCGTCTTTCATGTAAAGCTCCATGCCAGGGAAGACCTTACATAAAAATTCAGGGACACATACTGTAAGCGCAGCAGCAGCATATTATACAGAAACAAAGATAATCACGCTGTCTCTCTAAATGTAATATCATTGCCTAAATTAGGAGCTTTGTCAATATAGTGGAAGGTCTCCTAAATTAGAGGAGACTTTTGACGACTCTCCTATCATCTAAGGAAGCCAAAGTCCATATTTCATTACAATTTCCCATTGGATCTCTACATGTCTTGCCTGAAGCAGCAAGAATTCACAAAACTTTAGCTGGGGATACAGATCTCTGTTAAGTTTAAGGATCTTTGGCAAATCCTAAATGTGGTGTCATGAATTTCAAGCCCTGCTTCTATATAGGACAACCCTCTGTGTGCTACTAATGCCAGTGAGATGGTGATTCATTCTGTGCTATAATTTGTTAAGTCCTGACATTACTTGTAGCTTCCCAAGGGCAGTAGAAGCTAGTGGAGTATTATATGTGAAATTGTGAAGGGGGAAACATTCCATAGAGGTTGGCAGATCCTTCATTAGACTCGAACTTACCTGGTTCTGACTCCCTTCTCTAGTTCATGGTGGGAGAGTGGTGCCTTGGCTGACTGCTCCATGACAGGATTCATAAAAATCAATAACCCAATAATCTGTAGAGAGAACAGCCTTCTGGGGTGCCATCAACCCATCACTCAGCTGATAAGCCTGGACCATACTTGGTTTCCCATCACGGCACCACAACCGTGAATGAGTGTGCTGCCAGTATTGTGGCAGGGGATCAGCAGACAGTTCCCCTGCGGTGGTTTCCCCCAGGGCAGGTCTGCAAACATCAGTGATGTAGCTGGGCTACAACATGAAACCAGCGTTCAGACAAAGTCTTGTCCCTGCCAAGCATGGGATGCAGGCAGTGTATTCTGCTCCCATCACATCACACACGCCTCATGGCAGATTGAAAACCAGATCCTGAAGTTCCTATGTGTGCTTGCAAAGAAGATTTTTAATTCTGTTTGTGGTACTGGCTTCACACATTGGCAAGTGTTTTATAAAAAATCATAAAAGAAATAGCACTTTGATGCAGGGAGAATACTTGCTTGGTTTACAGGCCAAGGTTGACAATGAAGCACAGATCTAAGCAGTCTTCCTGCATATGGCCACTCTCCTAAACTGGGACCATCAATAAGGTTATGTTTACATATTCACTATATTTGCATGTTACATCAAGACAGTTATAATCAGTCTTAAGTCTAAGTATTCTATCTCTATATTAGCTTTAGGACATGAAAAAAATAGAGTAGACATCTGTTCCATGTAAGATATAGAGAAGAGCTGTGTTTTCACTAAAAACACTAGAGTTCAAAAATTGTCATCGTCAGAAAAAATGCTAACAGACCTGTTCAAGTTGTATAAACCAACTGTCTAAATAGAAAAGGTTTGATATTGAAGGGGAACCAATTCACGTAAAATAAAACTCTTTAAAATGGAATGTAGCCAGTTTCTAAATATATTCAAATATACAGTGTCTCTATAAATAGAAAAATAGATAGTGCTGAAGAGCTAAAGCAGTCCTTTCCACATCACTGAAGTGTATATATTTCTCTCTTTACTGCCATTAACACACAGTTGCTTGAGCTACAGCTGTTCTAGCCTTTGCCAACAGTTCAAGTAACTTCCCCTCTTCTCTCCTTTGTAACTCTCCATCTTCCATAATCACACCACAGAGTCACCAGGGCATATCTTGATTTCATAAAGTTTTAGGAAAAAAAGCCATGTGTCCCAAACTCTGTTGGTGTGTGTGCAGCCAATCAAGGAAGCGTGTCGTAAATTCACCATGGCCCTTCAACTGGAAGTGGCACACCTCCAGTCCCAACGCTGTATCCAGGAGAGGCTATGTGCTGACAAGCTCCCTCTTACTTGCACAGAGCCTGCTGAGAAGGATTTCAGAATAAACTTGATTTATTGGACCTCGGACATGATATGGGGACTGAGAATTTGCTGCATAGTCCTGCAGTTGTGATGGCTTGCTTTGACTGCCGAAATATTTCCCCAGTGTGTAGTGCCTTGATAACGTCATTGTTATGTGCGGACTTTCTTCAGAGGGGTTGGATTTCACCACCTGCAAAAGAAGTGACATATGTGAGTGCTTGCTGCCTGCACCTACAAAGTCACACACAGCTGTGTGTACAGAAATGCCATGACAGTTCTCCACAAAGCAGGTCCTGGTACTTGGAGCTGCAACTTGCTCACGAACAGTACTTCAGTGGGCTGGCTTGAAATGTTACACACTAATTAAAGTGCACATTCTTATTCACTTAAGCCTTGAAATCTAAATGTATAGGCCCATTATACTCACTTGGTTGATTCTGTAATGCCTTTGTATATTAGAGTCTGTTCTCTTCATTAGGGACAATTAATCTGAACAGCAAAATTCATACTTCACAGCTTGTCTGTATATTTACCATGGGGACAATTAAACTCAGATCAGCCCTGAGTTGCAGAGAGGTTAAAATCCTGCTCTGATCCCAAGCACTTGAGGAACATATGCTGTGTCTCAGCTGTGAGCCCTGTGAGAATGTCTCACGCTCAGGTCTTGATGCAAACCTGGCCCAGCTCCATGCTGAGATGAAAACACCCATGTGTCATGTTTCTCCAAGAAGGCAGTTATGGTGCAATTTAACATCCCTCTCCCCGGGGCATCGCACTGACATAACCACAATGTGGCTCAGTAACTTAGTGCAGAGGAATGCTCCTACATGTCCCCCAGGTATGTATAAAGCTCTGGGATCATTATGCTCAATTTGTATGGAATAAGCAAATGCCCGCGGGACTAACGAGAGAGAAGCTGACTGGTATGGTTGTCAGGAGCTTAATGACTGGGGAGGGGGGGCGAAAACAGTCTCCTGTGAGATGCTGAAGGTCTCATCTCAGTGAACACACAGTCACTGATGAATAATGAAGCAACTTCAAGAGACAAAACTTCAGAACCTTGCACAGATGCAAGACAGAGGACCCCAACCTAGGCATTGGCAAATCCAGAGAAAGCAGAAAAGGGACCAAGTAGTTACCTTTTTTTTTAAAGGGGTAAATATATGCTGACTTGAGAGCTCTGATGCCCATCAATTTTCCTATCAATCACAGCACAGACTTGAAAAAGCAGACTTAATTTTTTGATGCATATATTTATGTGGAAGCATAGTAGCTTTTAAAAAATATAATGTATTTTTTCAGTTGCTGAACAATCAGAAACAATATTCTTATGTAGTGAAACTCATAATAAATGAAACAACTCATACAAAATGAAATGTGAATGAAGGAATGACACGTGCAAAGGCTAGAAAGACTGGGCAGAAGCTATGAAGGAGCTGGCTCAACTAAAAAAAGACCAGGAATTATCCATGTAGAAAATTAATATATCCTCTGATCAATTTGATACAGCTAAGCCAAGGGCTGTTATTTGTTTTCATGCAATTCCTGCAGGTTCATTTTTCTAAATTAGTGCATTAGATCTTATAACTCTTTCAAAATGATGCCACCTTGAACCAATCACCCAAGCTGCATTCCTGTTAGGCATAATCTCCCAGGAATGCAATCTAATGTTCATCTAACAGCCAGCTCCTGATTAAGATGCCAAAATCCCAAGGTTCCTATTTTTTATGTTGTGACTGTGATTTCATTGCCATTAAACTAGGAAATAAATCTGAATAAAAGAATAGGTTCCATAAAGGTCTTTGTAACTGCTGGTCAATCTACCTCTCCATAAGCATTTGTGAAGAATGAGGTAATTAAAAAATCAGGTTTGCATGTGTGCATAGAACTAGAACTATGTTTGAGCAGAAAGTGCCAGAGTTATGCAAGATTTTATGTCCCCCATCTACATAATCTGTTTGTGAGTCCAGATCCTTTGGCAAGCTGAGCGACAATAGGGTCTACAGAGCCGAGAATTTCTATGCTATCGGGGTGACCTGAGGCCCTCTGAAGTGGGTTGGTGGGAACTGAAATAATTTATCAGGGGAAACAGGTTTCTGTTTGGCCAGCTAGTGAGGACTAAATAAGAACTAACTGCTGAATGCATTTCAGTTCTGGTTTTCTGACTGCACAGAACACAGCGCTGTGGTTCCCACATGGCCATGCTTTAGCTCAGATGGCATTTGCAGAGGGGTGCTGTCTTCTGAGAGTTTAGGAGGTCATTTTTTAAGAGAAAGAAAGTGAAAGTATAAAGCAGTAGATTTAATCCACCTCATCTGGTTTCATAAAACATGAAAAGTGCTGGGGTTTTACACAGTGTTCTTGGCTCCATCCTCGGAGGAAAAATGCCATTTTCCTAGTGCAAACTGCTTCAGCACCTGATGAAACTCCACTTGCCAGGATGCAGAAATAAACTGATGACAAAACTGTTAAAACTAATGAGGTATCAAAAGCATTCAAGGACTTCCTTTTTGCTTTCCTCAAGGATCAAGTCTAGGTTTTGGTGGCTGATGGATTCTCTTGGACACATCTATGCCCCTTTCAGGCACAATGACTGACCTCTCAAGCCTCATTAACAACAGTTCCGTGAGCCAAATTCTCCCCTGATCCTCCCCAGAAACACATACTTTCTGTTGAGATTCCACCGGCAGAGAAGTAAGGCCAAATCTGAACATGAGCTCATACGAAGTGATGGAGGAGTGCATGAAAAATGCTGATAACCGATCACACCCTGCTGTTTTCCAGCCAGTTCTATACAGAGCATCAAAAAAATTTCACTTTGAAGCTCTCCATTTCACTCAAAATCTCTGTGGAAATGGTGAGCATCAGCAATGACCCACGAAGACATGAACATCTGGGTTCTAGACAAAAAAGGGTCAATACAGCCATCTGGGTGAAATGAAGGGAGGCATTTACTCCACGGGACTATTTATCCATTATGTAAATATCTGCTCTGTGACTTACTCCCTCTTTTCCAGCTCCATTTGGACTGAGCTGTGTTCCTGCCGCACTCATGTACTGAGCAGAGTAGATTAAAGGATTCATTAACTAACCACACCTGCTGTGTTTGGTCCCAAAGCAGGACAGAGGCCATGGCAATGGGCTGAAAACATATGAGCTGCTGAGGAGTCTGAGGTGGAAACCAGCTGTGAGGTTGACACACAGCATGTGAGGTCAGACAGGTCTGATAACCCTTCCAAACCTGTGCTCCATCCCAGTGAGTCTCATACTGGAGCAGAGTCCCAACCAGTGGCAGCTGACTGTCTCCCCACTCTCTTTTGGGAACACATTTGTGGTCCAGTAGACTGTCAGTGATATTATATTGCTGTGATATTTAAGGAGAAAAATAAAAACCTTACAGTTACTAATTTGTTAAGTCTGCTTTATGCAAAGGTGACTGCTGTGGCTGAGAGCATTAAATATAATCCACTGGCTACAAGAAAATAGTTGGGCTGGCTATGCTAGTCCTTGGCCAGCAGACACAGCCTATACTTAAATTTTATTACCATCACCACTGAATTCCAGTTTGTTTGGTTTAAACTACTCCCAGGTTTAATTAGCCACAGTATATTTTGGTTTCCAGTGTATACTGTGGGCTTCTGATAAAGGAAACCTTGTTTTTAGATATTTGTGTGTTTTGGATCTTTAAAGAAAATCTATCATAGCTGTCCTGAGATTTCTTCACAGCAAAAATTAGTGCTTCCATTTTATTCCTGGTGCGGTGGCCCACCTTTGTAGCTGTGAAGATCTACGGGGCTTCAGTGCTAACCCTGCACACAGCCAGATCCTGGAAACAGGTTTGGCCAGGAGTGAGGCTTACAGAGATACAGACATGACTTGGCAAAATAAGGAAAGGGGTTTTATCCTCCGCTTGAGTGATTCAGAAAACATGTGGTGGTCTCTCTTATTTGAAATAATTTGTTTTGGCAGAAAACAAATTCCTAAATTCATGCTGGAAAAATGCTAGCATTTCACTTGTGAGGGTGAGAGTCTTTTTTAATATTTATGCACTTTTGGTAAGTCTGATAAAAAGGGTTCTAGATTTCTCTCAATAAGAATTAACTTGTGGAATTCTGTCTTCTAAATGACACATCAAACTGCTTGTGTCATTATTCTAGTCAGTAACCAAAAACCTGAGATTTATTCCAACTAGTAGCTTCTTCCTGACCCAAAGGCTCCAGCTGACTGGGAAACAACATAAATTCATTCAACATCTTGGTTTCAAGGAGACATCTTTCACTGTATCCTTTCTTTTCCTCCAGTTTTAACTTTTCAGTAACAATTTCTTCTCCTTTTATATTTCATTCTATGAAAGAACTTGCACCTGTCATCTCTCCTTTGATCACTGAGAGGAAATGCAAGCTTCATGAAAGATATGACAGTTCAAGTTTTATGGTCCTAACCAGATTTTAATGGAATAAATTGCAGTAGTTTCCTAGTCTTTCATTAAATAGACAACCCATGTTCAGTTCATAAGAATAAAGATCCTTGTAGCATCACAGGCAATGTCTTACTGTGCTAAATGTGACTTTATCTGTAGCAGTACTAGAAGGCTTCTCTGTCCTTATATCCAGCAATGAATTGAAGCATAGGGTTACTGGTGATGTTTGTGTGCATGACTCTGGTTTGCACTGAAGAAATATTTTTTACTCTGGATCAGGAGGTAAGAACCTGGAAAGATGTGGGCCTCCTTTATTCCTCAAAACTTTTTCTGGTTCCCTAAGAGCATAAGGTAATATTCATGGGTTTGATTTAGGACAATGGATGATGTGTTTGGATTCTTATCAGACTGACCACTTGTAACAGGAACCTGGGAACTGGCCTTTTATACCAACAAGTCGGTGTCACAGGTATGAGGAAGGACTTGGTTGGAAGCTACAGCAATAGTCTGGTGGCCTTGGTGACAGTTCTTTATCGTATGCAAAATTACTATCATCAGCCTTATGGCAGAAGGTACCTTCTTACTTCACTACTCAAAAATCTTACTCTCTGTTTTCTTTCAGGGTCGCCTGCACTAAACCGGGGGTGCACTTCTTCATTTGCTATATGAGAGATACAAAAAATCCAAACCCAAACCAGATCCTTCCTTTGCTGATGGGGAAGTGCAATCACTATAAAAAGACATCCCACATATTCAAAATACATCTTAAAGTAAACCAGAAAAACTTTAAATATCTTGTTTTTCAAACTCTTTACTTTCACTGGTTTGGCAGCCTGTGGAATGACCTTGTGCCTAGATATAATAACGTGTTTGCTTATTTGGTTTTGATTTAATCCATGGACTTCTGTCATTTGTAATATATTGTGAATATTCTTTGCCAGAACTTTGAATGAATAGAAGAAGCTGTTCTTGGTTGCCCTACTCTTATATTTTACCATGTCCCTGTTTCACCAGTCTGGTAGTTATTAAACAGAATACAGAATTTCTATAGGTTTCAGATAAAAAAAAAGAAAGTAGAACTACGGGCATGAGTGAGAACAAGCAACTTACACTTTTGTTCGTATGGTCAGTCACTATAACTATCCCAGATAACTCTTTCTTGGACATATGAAAACAGATATACAGCAGTAAGATTGGTCTTTCAACTTTAAGCTCCATCTTAAATGTACCTATGGTTTAATGGGAGTCTGCTGAGCTGCTCAGTTAGGAAGGCTTTGGACAAAAACCTGTGAGACTGAGGTATGGAAAAAAGATAAACTGAGTCCATGCAGAAGCAGTATGGATATATAATACACAAGAAATTATATAAGAATCTGGAAACCATGCAACATCCTTTTATATGCGTTACGCTTGCAGAAAGGCATCCTTGTTTTTATTCCTAGGAGCCACCACTATGGCAGTTCAGCCTGTCCTGGAGTGGCACTGCACTCTGAGCAGAGAGGGACAAGTGCCGCTGTGCAAACTGCTATCTCCACAGTTTTCATTCAGGCCTAACTCTGAGTCAGGGATGCGCACCTTGTTGTGTACCATTCTGTTTCTAAGCACCTAACAGTTAAATACCCGGGAATGATATAAGCCCCATCTATTACCTCATGGAAATGGCAGCCACACTTCCCTTGCAGGAATTCTTTGTAGCGTCCCATGGTGATGACAAAGGTGTCAACCACTTCATAGCCAAAGTTTTTTGCTTTATCCAGAATAATCAAGTTTTCATTCCACAAGTTTTGCACTTCTGCCTGCATTCCAGATAAAATATTGCAATGTCTTGTCAGAAGGACTGTTTAAAGGTTATTGTATTCTGCCATGAAAATAAATAGCAAAACTGCATTTTGAATAGAGCAATTACATTATACTCCAGACACTAATTACTGTAAATTCACTCTTGAAAATAGCTATTACTCCAAAACTGTTGTAGATTTTTACCGAATTTATAATTACTGTTCAGCAGTAATGAAGCTTCCTTCATAGGAAGATTTCAATGTATAATAAAATATAATTGCTGGGTAACTGGATTTACTTAGCTAATATGAGGTGTAATTCAGAAAAAATAAATCCTACTATACAGTTGTTTGTAACAAACGTTCCTGTAACAAATTGTTCCTGTAATGAAAAATTCAGCTTCAAATTAAAGTAATTGAGACTGTTGCTTAAAAAAGAGTATAGAGCCATGGGTGTCTTAGAAATGGTTATAGTGAAGAACAGATTATTATTTCTCAAGATACTGCAGGAAGGCCAGGAATAGAAAAAGGTTTAGCCATAAATTTGGCAGGGTGGTGGGTTTGACACTGCAGACAGAAGGTCTTTGAGAGTAGCTGGGGTAAGCCAGAAGTCCAGAGCACCCAAACCACATGGGTAATTTGGCATATGATTCCAATATTGAAAGAGAAAAGAATGTCGGTTATGCACCGTAGTTGTTATAAATTTACTGGATGAGAAACAGAAAAACGTAGTCCTGGGAAGCTTTGTATCCTCCTTCTCACCTCACCTACCTTCAATCTAAGATCTGCTTCTTCCTCCTAGGACTGAACTTTGGTGAAAGCTATGGCAGGAGCTATGACAACATTTCTTCATCTTGATGCCAACAATTTCCCTATTGTATCCTGTGCTAGTTTTAGTCACTTGGATAAATTAAGGAAATTACTGGAATCAGTAAGATGACATTCAGTAGAGATAAGGCAGATAATACTAACTTTGACAGAATGGGCAAAACCTGACAGGGCATTCTCTGTAGCAAAAAGAAGGATAAGTCACACACTGACTACAACATTGTGCTATGGTTGCAAAAAGACATGGGCACCGGTCCCCAGTGTGATAGGAGTGTTGTAGGTAAACTATGAAAGTTAGTAATTTTCTCTTTTTAACACCATGAATAGCTGGAGCATTACACGCAGCGCTGGTAGGCACCAGGTACTTTGTTCTTCCTTCCAGTGCTTCCCAGACCCGTCTCATCCACCCATTTTATATGTGTTCAATAAAGAACCACCCTCCAAATTGTAAATAAAAATATTGAATTGAATGAATTACACATCACATTGAAATGAGCCCATCTGTTACTCTGAGAGTCTTGGATATGATTTAAATTGACTGTAACATCTGATCAACATAGAAATAACAGGCTAGATTCACCAGTTACAGCCCAGCTGCTCTGCAATGTTCTGGCTTCATAGGTTGGTAAAGATCGATTTATGGAGAGCTGTGCAATGCAGCCAAACCAGTGAATCCGATCCAGCGGTAAATACGGATGAAGCCTGGGGAGGGCCTATGCTCGATGTGGTATGAGGAGCAATCTGCCTATCCCCAGCTCGATTTCTCAACTTTTAGGCTTAGTATCAGAGCTTCCTCTGGTTCTTGGGATGGCTGGTTGAGCACGGTGTCTTGAATGGTGCTCTGATTGCAGCAGAACCCATGAAAAAAGGCAAATTGGTTTTAATCCGTATTAGGAAACAGTATGAGCAATTACAAACAGTGATTAAAGCTTGCTCAGCAGAGTTTGTAACATATTTTGACCAGACAGCAAAATTATTGCTGCAATGAAAAGTCTTCAATGAAAATACACTCTAAATGTACTGTAGATTACCTGTGATAGAGAATGTATTCCATCCACTGGGAGGTGAAAGCCCATCCCTATGGATTTGATAATTACCAGGATATTTGATAGATTTTCCCTGTTTCGTAAAAGAAAAAAAAGAAAAAAAAAAAGACACACATTTTACTTAACAGACACATCAAAAGACACTGCATTTTTATTTTTTTTCAGAGTCACTTAAGTGCACACCCATGAGAAAACAAATGAAATGTTTGTGTTTAAAATTTTTTGTTATTTCTCATAATTCATCATATCAAGGCTTGGAAAAACACCAAGACTGTAACATTACCTGTTCAACACCTTTTGGATAATTTGCAGATGATTGGAATTAAGCCACTGAACGCCACCTACAATTAATACGGTCTGGTCTGTGTTCTCCAGGGGACGTGATCTGAAACCCAGAAAGGAAAAACAACACATGTTGCCTTAAAACAGATGGCAAACATTTTAACTGCATTGCATTGTATTTCAGTGAACTGTATCTGGCATCCTGATTGGAGGCCTGGTGTAATTTTCCACTGTTTTTTAACCACACAATGCAGTCTGCACATGTTATGTTTAATTGTTTACTGACTTTAATTGTAAAATGTGTTGAACACGTTTGCGAATAGAATGGGAATACAAACAAGTCAGCAATGGAGTTTGTACAGTACCTCTGCAGCAGTTGTTCTAGGGCTTTTTCAAAAGTTGGTCTCTGGTTTGCATTCATCCAAAACTGGGGGTAGTAGGAGTAACTGATAAATGTTTTCCCCTCATTGATATTATTATAACATTTAACATCATGAGTCTTCTGCCATTCCTGAAGAGTCTTATTCACTCTTTCTATTAGATAGTACATCATCCCTCTGTTAGTTGAGTCACCTATAAAAAGAATCTTTGGATGGAAAAAAATATATGACTGACTTAGAAGTTGTACACTCCAAAAACCAAAAGCTAAGAAATTAATACAGCTAGTCTGGAAGTTTTTAAATCCTTCTCAATGTTCAAGAAATACCTCCGTGAGCTGCCAGCTCTCCAGCCCTGACATCTCAATAATAAAGTTCTCTTTTAGCAAAATCTGTTTGATCTGGTTAACAAAAAGCTATGTTATGTGTTTCAAAGACAACAAATACACGTTATAGATGGCTATAGCTGCATATCTAGCCCTGCATTTTGTGGCCTTGTTGATAATTTCTTTGGCTTTAGTTTATATTTACTTCTAATTGCTAGGACAGAGTCTCTCTTGATTGCTTGCAGCTTCCTGCTTTCATTCCTCCAGTTTTTTCATGTGGTTTGTTCCTACACAGCACATCTTGGTTAATGTCTGCCTTCCATAAATGTGATTAATTAGAATTTACACCAAAGTACTACACACACACACACTTACATCAATGGATGCAGATGCTGCCCTATTTTGTAGAGACATGGCCTTTCTGCAGTTTCAGAATGGAAAAAAAAGGGAGGTTATTTTGGTGGAAGATATCTGAATAGAGTCCTGGCATGTATGATGTGACCACCAGGAAGCATTGTGCTGTCAGGATGACAGAAATACTTCAAGTAGCAGCAGCCTGTGCTGGGCTACACTGAACTTGCAAATGCATGAAGAAGTCAAATTTGGGCTTGCTTCTGCTCATTCTATAGAGTCCCCTGACAAATCAAACATCTTTGCATGTGAAGACCACAGAACTTAAAGGGTGGGGTTTTTTTTTAATGTAATTGCCCTATTTTTAGTGGATAGGACTAGCATTTCC